GGGGGGGGGGGGGGCATCAACACGTCATAGCTGGTTATATTCCTGTAAACTATACTAACCAGCAGCACTAAAAGCCACGTTGATCAGTGACAACACAGTCTCAGAGAAAAGGAACTGCTGCACTGCTTTCATTAAAATGTTGAAGTCAGTTGTGTGTTTTTTATTTTCTTCACAGGGAACACCTGGTCCCAAGGGAGAGCCAGGAGAAAAGGGCTTACCGGTAAGAAAGTACAGGTGGTAGATCATAGTTTTCATGATGACAAAGGAAAAACAGGGTTTTATATTTGGAAGATCCAAAAAATTTGAAGATTTATCATTAAATGTTTTCTCTGTCTGTCTAACCCTTATTTTTCTTTTGCCTATTTTTCATTTTACAAGAACAATATAAGTGTAAGATTTTTATTTATATCATCTTGTGTTCATTTTATAATACAACGAATGAATCTATTTGGTGGCCAAATTAAGTCTAACCATGACATCTCAGGTTCTGCTTATGATATTTTTACAATCACCATGTTTATGACTGTCAGTGGCTGCCCTGTGATGTTCAGCTTCATCTTCTCCTACTTGTTCTAGATGGTCATTTTTGTATTTGTTTCAGTATACAGTGTTTTATTTTAGCTGGCAATCTGATTTTTGTGCGTGAAATCATTTGGTGTTGGTGTGTTTTTGCTTTGTTGGTCCTTGGGGTGTGCTCTGGACTGCTGTCCCCTGTCACAATGCTGTTCTCTTGACCCTAAAGCTGTCTGACACCCTCTGCAAGCTTTTGTCCCCATGGCTACCTTTCACAGTCACCTTCTCAGCATCTGACTTTGGCATATACATCAAACTGTCAATCTCATAACACTACCATGCAGCAGATCTGACTGAGTCAAAGAATGTAGAATATAAAACCTCTTTAAGAGGCAAATTTACAGCCATTTTAATTGAATTAAAGTGTCTTGCATCTGTGAGCTTCAAAATCATTTTAATGAACCATGAAACAAAGTGAAATGTGTATGCCAACTCACTCCCTATGTGTCAGTGGTGGGTCCTGTTGGGTTTTGAGGTGTTGTGCTGTAATGTGAGTGGAGTGGATACAGCTATCTTCTTTTGTCCCACAATGCATCCTTGCATGATTTCAATTTTAAATACTGCACCACATAATTTTTTTCTGGATGCTAAATATGTCTAATGACTAAAACAACATACTAGTGCCATTTAAACAGAAATAAGGCAAAGTTGCTCTAAATTCCCAGAGTTTTATTTGGGGATTATTTCTCCGTTAAGACTCTCGTCTTAGTGGCTCTGTAAGACCGTACAGTAGCATCACCATGCTAATATGTTCACCATTTTCATTAATTTACCGTAGCATATTAGCATGCTAACAGTTGTTAATTGCCACAGAGTACAGCCGAAGCTGATGGATGACTGTTTGTTCTAAGTTTTGTGGCCATCCATCCAATAGCTGTCCAGATAATTCACTAAAATCCACAACTTTCCATTTCTTGGTTCTGCTACAAGAAATGTGTAAGGATCAGCAAAGTCAATAGACCCCATCCCATGGGTAACATGAGTGACTACAAAATTTCCAGTACTTGTTGAGATATCTTAGTCTGATCAAAGTGGTGGATTGACCAATAAACTGACATTGTCCTCTCTAAAATTTAATCAATGATGTTATGGCTTACTGAAATTTTGCCTTTTTTCTTCAAACATAAAGTATGTCCTTGGTTTGTCTTATTAATCAGATCATTACTCACCTGGGCACCAAAAGCTTCAGCTATTCTCTGCATGTCTTGGTTTGTAATGGTGATGCTTTTGGCTGTCTCTCTCTCTCTCTGCTCTACTTCTTTTATCCTGCTACTTTTGTTATTTGTATCTTTTAACAAACAACAAATGAGATTTCGGTGTAAATTTATGCTAGCTTTATTTCAGCACCACAGTGTTAAGAATGAATGCTGTGGTGCTGAAATACTTGCCTGGCTTAACTGTTCCCCAGCAAAAGGAATGCAGATGGCATGATCATAACTAAATCCTGGGACAGTGTAATTCAGATGTTTTATGTCGCTGACATGACGCTGGTTGGTAAAGTGCATGCTGATGTTGCCCAGCCCAGCATGGCATAGACTGACTTCATATAGGAGCATGGCCAGAGAATGAGGGAGATACAGAGAAATATAGGGAACACATACTGTCTGAGAGTGCTGGGCAGACATGTGGACTGTTTTAACCTTCTAACTGCTGAACTGTATTGAGAAAAATGACTTGCATCTTGGCGAGCAGTTCTTTGGCTTGTGCTCTTTACCTTGACAGCTGTATCTATCTTCACAGGGGGACGGAATACATCAGATCAGAGAGGCGCTGAAGATCTTAGCCGAGAGGGTTTTAATCCTTGAGACTATGATCGGTATTCATGGTGAGTAGGAGGCCTGAGGCAGGGTCAGCTTTAGGCAAGGGTCAAACTCCCACCATACTGTACCTCACTGCTGGGACAGGGAGTGGGAACAGTTGTGAGCAGCCCCAGGACTCAAGCTGGTGTTTCCATCCCCTCACACACTCCCCCTGTCACTGCTCTCTGATAGGACGTTAGCTTGCAGATGTTCCAAGACTTACAGGCAGACCTTGAGCTTCTGGCTCGCAGGGTGACACTGCTGGAGGCTATCATCTGGCCAGGTAACACTGAGACATCCTCACTTACAGCTCTGCCGCCCCTTAATGACCTTAAGATCTAGAAACTGATAATCGAGTGTTAGAAGTGTAAAATTATTGATTTCCACTTGTTACTAAACTGCTGATTGTTGATCTAGTTGCTGAAAAGTAGATGTCTTTTAGAAATGTATTTTTCTTTATTAATTGTTTTGTTTTTTTATGATCTATAGTATAACAGCATACTTAATTAAAAGGGCCCAAAAACCTATTTACTCAGCTTTTTATTATGAGATGTGGTCCCATGTTAACATGCTGTTAAGGTTTGAATATTTTGGGTTATTTCAGAACAGACATTGTGCATTTTTCTCATCTCAATGGTTTAAAATGGATGGAGCTCAGTTGTAAAAGAATGACATGTATTTGCAAGCGCCAATTAGGATTTACTCATATTTGAACCAAAATCACACGAAAGACTACTTATTTGGTTGCTGATGTTGCCAGCACTATCAGTTAAATCTGATCAAACCACACCAACACAGACCTGCTGGAGCAAGTACGCGGAACTTTTCAGTGTTAAACTTAATAAACCCATTTAAAAAATAAAGCATAATAACCTGAATTTGCTGTTAATCTTAACTTTGTTGTTATTTAGTTGTGAATGTTACTAAGATTTAAGACAAAGTTGTCAGGAGCTTAATATTTTGAAAAATTATCTGTGTAGCTTTGTAGGTTTTTGTGTATATATGAATGTGAAGTATGCCTAACCAGTAGTGTTGCAATGATTAGTCAATAACACAGAAAATCAATTGAGCACAATTTTTTTAAATTGTTAAGCCATTTATCAAGAAAACATGCCCAATGATAGTTATGTCTTAAATCTTTGGGTTCTGGACTGTTAATTGGACAAAATATTCAATTTGAAGATAACCTGGGCACTGGGAAATTGTGTAGAAAAATATATAGATAATGAAAATAAGTGTTGCAGTCCTACTAGCCAAATGCATCTCCTTTACATCTGGATCAGATAAAGAAGGATCTGATCAGTTCCTTCTAGTTGGTTGACCATTTAATATTGAAAGTGAACAACAGGTGTTCAGTCAAAATAAGAACACAATCATGCGTGTTAGCAGCTATCAAAGTAGATCAGAGTAGACTTCGATTAAAACTGCAGAGTGCATGTCCACCCATACTGATGGACGGCGAGGCCTGGTTCCAACTGCTGTCTTTCTTCAACAGAGCCTGATGTAGGGTCTGGGGATGGACCATTTGGCACAGCCTCCCCTAGTTTCTACAGAGATAAGCGAGCAGGTGCTCTTCCATATCGACTTGCTTCTCCTCTGTCCTCCGACACCAAGGTTCGAGGGAAGTACCCTCCCAACTCACCCTGAGGATCACAGGCTTGGTTGACTCCCCCACCTATAGGTCTCATCAGTGCTCAACAAGTTTAGACCCTATCTGATACTCTCAGATTTAGGATGGGGGACACCTCAGGGAAACTCCACTGATACTGCATAATGTCCTCCCCCACTGGGAACTTGAAAACTAGTTTGACCCTCATCCATCGCCATAACCAAACTTTTATCCTTACGTAATGCACCAAGCAGCTCCTATATCTCATTTCTTTTGCAACAGAACTAAAGCCTCATGTCTGATTAAAGGAAAATCTGAATCTTCTGTGGTGCTCCTCAACCTAGAACCAGTTCTGGACAATAAGGGTCATTTAGAATAATCAACTGGAGGAGAAATCAGACGTGAGGAAAGAGACTGGATTTTGAGTTTGTATTGCTTTCACAATGTAACTACAGTCTGAAGAGATTCCTTAATGTAAGTATATTGAGCATGTACAGTTTACAGGAAACAATTACACAACCAAACCACTTTTTTTGCTATCAGCTTCGTTAAACTTCTCTCATATTAAGTCAGTGTTATGTAGTGCACTAAAAAGATGAAGTAATTGCTACTCTGAGATATGTGTTGGTAACAATGTTTTCTTGTTTTCTGGCGTGAGTTTTCCCCCCTTAAAGCACACACTCATGAAGTGATTTAATATGAAACAGTATATTTACATTTAATCTGTGCAAAAAACCTTCCTGGGTTTGGCTGTTTATCACCAGAACCAGTCAAAAATAATGTTGCATTATGGAAACAAAATGTTGAAATGAAAACCTGGCTGTTCATTTCAAGATCTTTCACACACACACACACACACACACACAGGGGAAATACCAACACCTTTAATGGAACTTGAACGTATTTTGACCACTGTTGGTAAATTAAACTCTGATAACTGTTTTTTCATCTTATATCAAACTTGGTGTGAAACTATTTAAAATGGTCAATTGTAGTTTATTTGTATGCTGTTGTGTAATCATTTCATATTTTGAACTTTTTTTCCCCTTGTAACTGTGTTACTGTGTTAAGATAATCCTATTTAGATTATCAGTGTAATAAAATAATGTATGTTGTTTTTTTAACATGTCACTTGTCTTCATTTGTGTTACAACAGCATTCATTAAACACAATTATAAATAAATGACATCCACTCTCTCCAATGTACATTTTATGTACAGAAACTCTCAATTAGTCAAGTTTATATCTACATTTAATTAGACTTAGTTGTAGAAAAAAAGATTATTTTCCATGGGAATTCTGATCATTAAATCAGTTCTGCAAGAAGCCCACAAGGAAAATCCAACACAGATGCTCAGCAAAACCCAAGCATAACAAATGTCCAGTTTACTGCACAAATACAAACGCTGTTACACACTCAGTCCAGGAGTGTGAGGTCATCTAGGTGCTCTGTGGTGGCACAGGGCTCCGTCCTTTAGATACCACCACAGCTTGTTCTCCAACACTGTCATCTATAAGCAGGGAGATAGCGCCATCGAGCTGTTTTGAGGCTGCTAATGCCACAACAGCTTTCTCTGTGGGGAAGCCCATCTTCTCCAGCTGCTGGAGTCTGACAGGAAACACTGGTTTTTAGTGAACTGTGAATGATAACTTGAACTCACAAAAATAAGCAATATTTGGTAAGTTTCACATCCAACACACACAGAAAATTATTTTAATTATGCAGATTAATACCAACCGCAGAGATGAAACTGATGATTTGGGCACCTCCACTTTTGAATCAGGGTCATCAGGAACACCTTGTAATGAGGCTAGTATCCCTGCCCTTAGCATCTGCTCCTCCAACACCTCCACCTCAGACTGCACAGCATACCCCTCCATTGTCCAGGAAGGCAATGGCTCCATCCATGTGTGGTGGTTCGAAACATTCCTCAGGGGGAGAGCAGCTGCCTGAGCTACAGGTGTTGTCTGAGACAGAGATCTAGGTCTATGGTAACAGATGATTTAAAGTGATTAAATCTGCCACTATGATCATTCAATGAGACGTATGACGTGAATGAGATGAATCGCACCTGTGTGAGGTAGTGTAAGTGGGCAATCTGAACCTGGATGAAGTGGGAACATATACCCAATCAGGAATGAAATCCAAGACCCTGGCCTCCTCCAGCTCCTGTAACATCGCAATGAAAGCCTGTTGATCTGAGAGGTATATTAAGTACTGTAAACAAAAATAACTTGGAGAGAACCATTGCGTTATTTATATGGAAAGACGCTTCATTATATATTTGGAGGAGGGGAGGGTACGCTTCAAATCAGACCCTCAGTAACAAATGATATGCTTATATTATGGAACATGTTTTCTAGATGATTACATTTTAAATGCAATGAATTTTTCTAATTTCATCCCACCTAAACAGTTAAACAGAACTAACAGGGAAGTGAAACAGCTGTCAATCAAACAGGCTGTGTATATGCACAGTCCTAAGCAGAGGTGAAATCGATCAAAATCAGAGAAAAGGCCTGTCTGGTTGTACCATGGCTGTGTAGAGGTTTTAAGACATCCATCAAGGAATAAACTGTAGTAAAGGTTAACTATTTAACCCCTAAGATCCTTAATATGTAGTATGCTGCAAAATATCCCTGGGAGGGCTCTCAGGGCATGTGCCAGCAAGCTGGCTGATGTTCTCACCACCATCTTCAACCTCTCCCTCAGCCAGAGCATCGTCCCCACCTGCCTGAACGACTACAGGCCAGTAGCGCTCACCCCAATTATTATGAAGTGCTTTGAGAGAGTGGTGCTGGACCGCATTCAGAGCAGTATACCGGACACCCTGGACCCCCTGCAGTATGCCTACCCGCCCAACAGGGCCGCCTCAGACGCTATCGCGGCTGCACTCCACTATTCCCTTTCTCACCTGGAAAATGGAGACTCCTACATCAGGATACTTTTCATTGACTACAGCTCTGCCTTCAACACAGTTGTCCCCCACAAACTGTCCACACTAGGTCTGCAACCCACCCTCTGTGACGGGCTCCTGGACTTTCTGACTGGCAGGCCCCAGACTGTCAGGATTGGCAATAGAACTTCAGCCAG